CTTCAAACATATAATAATTAATAATAATAATAATAATAGTATCAACATCTTGGCACCTTACTAACCTTAAGCCTAAAGCTGGGCAAAAGGAAAAACTGACAATAATTAAAGCTACACACTTAATTGGTGCTGGTGACCCATGCCTGTAATCCTAGCTACTGAGGAGATTGAGATCCTAAGATCAAGGTTCAAAGCAGGACCAGGCAGGAGACACTTATCTTTAATTAACCATAAGAAATGCAGGAAGTAAAGATGTAACTTAAGTGGTAGAACACCAGCCTTGAGTAGAAAAATTGATTAGATATTTGAGTTTAGAGAGCAGTAGCATGGAAAGAAAGCAAAATTAGTAGTACTAGAGGCACACTGGAAAAGAAAACTGTTCATAAATCTGTTCATAATTTGTATTTTTCTTCATTGCTCCATGTAATAAATTGATCACTCTTGAATAAAATTCATTGGAACTGTTGATATTTCCTGTGAACCAACTTTGTGTTATTTACTGTAGATAAAGCACTAAGTTACAAGTAAGTCTGCAAACAAGAAAGAAATTTTAACATTGATAAGCACTATAGAAAAAATAAAAAGAGTCAATATAATGGTGTGAATTGATTGGAGGTCATGGTGTTTATGGAGATTAAAAAATAATTTTAAATTCCTGACAGATTTGCTAATGTTAGGATGATAAAGAGAGTGAAAGACCAAGGAAGACTCTCATTTTAAACAAAAACAACTGAAATTAGTGGCTGGAATAGGCTGAATATAATATATATATGTGTGTGTATATGAAATATACATATTTCACATATATTTATATATACATATATTTCATACATATATACACATGTATACTTCATATATACATATATACATGCATATGCATACATATTTCACATACATACATATATATACATTTCATATATATACATATGTGAAAATTTACAAGTTTTTAGAAAAAATGTATCAAAGAAAGTAATCTACCAGAGGGGCGAGGAATCACAGAAGAAATTTAAAAAAATTTCTAGGCAAATGAAACTGAGATTCAACATACGAAAACTTAGGAGAAACATAGTAAATGTCCTGTTAAAGAAGAAATGTATTCCCTTAACACAATAAAAATAAGAACTACTTCAAATTAACAAAGTTTACAATTTAAGGAAGAAGAAAAAATAGAATAAAATAGATCTAAAATTAGTAGAGGGAAAGAAATAAGATCAGATCAGAGTCAAATGAAAATCAATAGGAAAAAAACCCTAAAGATGGTTCTTTAAAAGAATACATAAGTTTATCAGCCTTCAGCTTCCTAAAGGAAAAGCTGAGGACAGGAAAGAGTGATGGCCAGCTAAAATTACTGATTGGATGTAACAATGAACACATTATAGCTAGTACTACAGAAAAATTGTAAGTGAGTACTGTGAGCAAGCTTGTGAAAATAAATTTGAAAAACTAGGTAAATGGATACACAGAAATATACAACATACTAAGATTGAATCACAAAAAAAATAGAAATTCTAAGTATAACTACAATGAGTAATAGAATTGAATCACAAATCAAATAAAAGCCTTGGACCCAAGAGTAGTTTGACACGGTTTTAGACAAGGGTCCAACTTCATTTTTCTCCAATGTCTTCAGTATTATTGGAGAAAACACTGAACATTCTCCACTGAGTTATCTTTGTATCTTTGTCAAAAGTCATTAAAATATGCAAAGGTTTATTTCTGGGTTCTGTTGTATGTCATTAGTGTGCTTATCTGTGTTTATGACCCTGCATCAGTGCTGTGTTTGAATTAGGAGGTGTGAATGATCCAATTCTGTTCTGCTTTCTCAGGTTTGGTCTGATCATTCAGGGTCATTTGAAATTCCACAAATCACAGGGGACTTCTACATATCTACAATATTATTGAGATTTGGATTCAATGCCATGGAACTTACTGCACATAAAAATAATTTAAATGACCAGGTACTGGTGACTCAAGCCTATAATCCTACTTATTCAGAAGACTGAGATCTGAGGATCATGGTTTGATTCCAGTGCATACAAGAATGTTTCTAAGCCTCTTGTCTCCAATTAATCACTAAAAAGCAGAAAGAACTCTGGTCCAAGGGGAAGAGCACTAAGTCTGATCTCAGAGATCATGTCCAGGCCTTGTTGCCAAGCCCCAGGACAAAAAAATGTAATTGCAAGTTTTATATGATATGTGTAATATTTAATATATTACTAAGGAAAATTAGACATATTTTAGTCCCTGGAACCTATGAATGCTATTTCTGATGTGAATATTTGTGCACTCAAACAATCCTGAGATGGAAATTGTATCCCCCAAGTTAATGTTGTAAAAACTTTTGATCAATGCTCTTAGGAAAGAGTCCCAAAGAATTAGCTCACCTCTTCTACCATGTGAGAACACAGAATCTGGAAAAAGGCCCTCACTAAACAGAAAATCCATCAGGATCTTGATGTTTTCCAGCCTGCAAAACTATGAAATTTCTGTTACTTTGAATCTATCCACTGTATGGTATTTTTGCCATAGTAACCTGAAGTCTGAATGGATGAAGACATTGAAGAAAGAAAGAGAAGGGAGGGAATGAATGAAGGAAGAAGGAATGAAGGAAAGAATTTGTAAATATTAGTTAAGGGTGATGGCAAACTACCTGGGGTTTTACAGTAGGTTCCTATATACAGTGATGCATAACTTTATAAGTGGGAGAATGAGACAGATTTGACATAGAAGAGTCAGTGTCTCCAGAGATAATGTGGCTATAAAGACACAGAAACAGATTTGGGATTTCTTGTCTATAAGGAATATATTTATTGTTGTTTTTAACATCCAAGTCCATGGCAGTTGTTAGAAAGCCACAGGCCAGTAACACCATAACACTACCCTAAAACATGGGTAGGGGTAAAAGGGAAGAATGCATTTTTATCCTAGACTTCTGATTTTGGGCTTCTTTTTTCTGAAGTGTCTACAAGACATTTGATATTGTAATCATATAAATGAATGATTTATAATATAGTCATGTAAAGGTAAGATGAGATTCCCTAGGAAGGTGAAAGTAAGAAGGTGAAAAAGCAAGAAGGCCTGAGCCCGATCCTTACCCAATGGGAATATACGGAGACTACAAGGAGTTTGAGGGCTATCAACAGAGACCCAAGAGGGCATTGGGTGAAGGAAAGGAGACAACAAAGAAGCTGTCTAATGAGCTAAGAAGATGTCAGTGGATATTAATGCTGCCTATAGGTCAAGTAACATGCTGGACCTTGGTGACTATTAATTTGTCATCAAAGAAAGGATTGCTGACCTAAAAACAAAAAACAAACAAACAAAAAACTCAATGCCTGTTCAGGGAGACAGAAAACCAAGTTGGATTGGTTGAAAGAATAGGAGGTAAGGAAGTGCAGGCACATGGTGCTGCCCTGTTTGTGAAAGCAGCTGGTTGGTTTAGCCACATTAATCAGTCTCTTAAAACATAAAAATTGCTCCACTTGAAGCATCTGTATTCTTTTAGAGCTTGGAAGAAATAAAGCATATTCAAATTCAGTAGTCAATAATGTTATTAAATTAACATATCATCTAGTGTTCATTGTCTTCAAAAATTTAATATTGGATCATTAAAACAATTGAATCTGGAATGATCTACTCCATAAAAAAACACAGTTAAAAATCCATGATATGTAAAGCAGATCAGATTGATTTATTGGTAATTACAAACTAGTAACTATATCATATAATATCATATAATAAAAGATTTCTTTAGAATCTTTTTCGTCAAATTTCCCTACTCCTAGAAAATAAATCCTTAAGAAATTCTAATTCAGTACAAGGCTAAACTGTTTTCTATATTGCAGGTAGAATTACTTAGGATAGATTGTTTTTCATTGAACAAGTTTCCTAATGGGACATTTATTACTCACTTGAGGAACAGCAACAAAGATATCATTTTTCTGATGGAGAAAATTCATGAGGGCTTCCTCTCCCCCCAACCTCCGGTCATGGGGCATAAACTCCAGGCCTGGGTATTGTCTCTGAGCTTTTTGCCCAAGTATAGCAGTCTACCACTTGAGCCATAGGTCCACTTCCAGCTTTTCTTTTTTTTGGGTAGTTAATTGGAGCTAAGAATTTCACAGGCTTTCCTACCTGGGCTGGCTTCAAATTGCAATCCTCAGATCTCAGCCTCCTGAGTAGCTAGGATTATAGGCATGAGCCACTGATCCAAAGTTTCTTGGGGGCATTTTAAATAGGTAATTCAAATATAGTGTTTAAATTCTGAGAGAATGTTTTCTCCTTTCTTTTATCTGATCATATTTGACACTGGCATCCCTGACTAGCTTGAAACTTTAATATATAAGCAAATATATTTGGATAAATAAGTATTTTCTTTAATATATTTTAAATAATAATAATTAAAATAATACATGACAATGAGTAATTTGACAATAATTAAAGTTAATGAAATAGCCTCTTCTCACTTTCTCACAAAAAATATTTAAAGGACACTTTCTTCATCAGTGAGGTAAGAAATAAAGCATTTTCCCATTGTAAGTGAAGTGTCTTTAGTATATGAATTTTTTTTTCATACCCGAAGAGTTCCTAATTCTTAAATAATCTTTTTCCTATAAACATACACATGCACTGACACATAGCATTAATATATTTATGCACATATACATGTATATGAACTGAATGGATTAATGAATTATATCCTGTATATGTATATACCTGAAATAAAATAGGCCTAAGTAATCTATGGAGTTGTTATGTTATAAGTTAATAATTTATACCTTCCCTTACATAAAAATCCAACACACTGATAGACCAGATTGCTTTTGCTCCTGATACATCATTGGGAGAGAAGGCAAGAAACACTTAGTCTCTATCAGTGTAGTATGAGGTGCTTCCTGGAAAGTCCAGGAAATGAAACAGGCTGAATTCCTCCCCTCATAAAACGCCCAGGCCATAGAATGGGAATCATACTTGAACTGTCTGTCTGTAACTCAGGTTACCTAAATAGCTATGTGCCGGCTTTTCTTCTACAACTTTGATGCTCCTTGCTCCCGCAGGTATCACCAACACTTCCACATAACCTGTAAGAGTTAAGAAAACATGAAGTAAATCTGGAGTTCTTATGAAGTCTTTTTTGCTTAATTGACTTCCCTTTTTAAACTCTGGTTTTAGTTACAACCACAATAATTCAATGGCTATGAAATAAAAACTTTTATTATAAAAATTGTGAAGCTAGGGGCCTGTGGCTCACATCTGTAATCCTAGTTACTCAGGAGGATGAGTTGTGAGGATCTAAGTTCAGTCCATGAGACTCTCATGTCCAATTAACCACCAGAAAACTGGAAGTGGTCTGTGGCTTAAGTGGTAGAGTGCTAGCCTTGAGCTGACGAGTTCAGGGACAGTGACCAGGCCGAGAGTTCAAGCCCCATGACTGACAAAAAATTAAAAATAATAAAAAAATTGTGAAGATTTCAAGTGAAGATGCTTCTTGGAAAGACATTGCAATTAGAGCTCCTTTGTGGATGAATAGGTAATTGAATTTTACATAGACAAGCTCTTTGGAATTGTGAGGAGAGGAAAAACAATTTAAAAAAAGTAAACTGAAAAAAAAACACAATAAATAAATCACAGAAACAAAATAAGTAAACTCTAGTGAAGAAAATGGGAAGAATGCAGTAAAAAAATTCAATATATAGCCTACAAAATTTAAGAAAAGTGATGGGTTGGAAGAGATAGGTGAGAATGTTGAAATGGAAGACTTGATGAACACATTGTATACAAAAACAAGAAGATTTTCTTTGTTGTTGTTTCTAATGTAAGATATGATTTCTTATTTTTTGTACTTTTTCCCTTATCGTTTAACCCCTATTATCACTGTATTTGATTTTGATACCCTGGGTATTGTATATACATTTATCTGAATTAGTGAAGGGAAGGGGAACAACAAAGTGGTGAGAAAAAGGACAAAGGGCAAACCAATGCAACAGTGATCCTCACAAGACAATATGTTGGAAATGAACTGTACTACTTTGGGGGAGGAGGGAAACCGGGAGAAAAATGAGGGAGGCGGTAACAAGTTTGACGAGAAATGTACTTATTACCTTATTTATATAACTGTAACTCCTCTGTACATCACCTTGACATAAAATTAAATTAAAAAAAACTGCTTTATTGAACGGCAATTCCTTTGTACAACTACTTAAAGATAATAAAAATATGTTTTTTTAAATGTGAATCGTAGAAGAGGACAAATAACCTCGTTTTTCTCTGGGAACTTTTTCAAGTGAGAAAGTGCAGGAAAAGAAGGAAACAACTAGAAAGAATACAGTGAGTGAGGGCCAATCCCTAAATTAGGTTAAGCTTGGGAAAGAGAGTTCAAGTTTTCTATGGAGAGAGAAGCAAAAAGTTTAGAAAATGGAGCTAGAGACAAGTGAATGTCAGAATAAAATCTAGTATCATCTCCCAGCTGTCAGGCTATCAGACAGCTAAATACAGGACATAATTTTTATGACAAAATTTTACAGTAGGGTTTAGGGATATAATATTTAAGATAAGATAAAGTGTAGTAAGATGAGAGAAAGTTCAAGAAAGAGGCGATCAATGTTTCATTTAACAAACAGCAGTGGAAGAGCAGGTGCCAATTTAAATAGTTATATTCTAAAATTGCACTAAAATAATATTCTTTTAGTATTTTATGTAGATCCATGTATCTGATATAAGTCTGATTTAAAGCTTTTTAAAAAAGCACAAGAGCTAATTCCAACTTTGTCTTCTACTTACAAATTATTCAATTCTTCAAAAATATTTAGTTTTCTTATGTAGTAGGTAGCCCCAGATGGTGTGAAAGACTGAAATTAAAGGCATGTGATTTCTGCATCATAGTTTCCATTCAAGAATACTGCTTAATTAACCAATGGATGGGTGTCAGTGGTTCATGCTTGTAAAACTAGCTACTGAGGAGGCTGAGATCTATGATCAAAGATTGAAGCCAGCTCAGGCAGGAAAGTCTATGAGCCTCATTAACCACCAAAAAACTGAAAGTGGGGCTGTGGCTCAAATCTAGAGGGAAAAAGCTTAAGGAAAAGCACTCAGCAGTATGTTCTCAAATAAAATAAAATAAAATTTAAAAAAAAAAATGAAAAAAAAAAAAAAAAAGCACTCAGGTCCTGAGTTCAAGCTTCAGTAAGAGCGCGCGTACACACATGTGAGCACACACACACACACACACACACACTCTAATCATTGGGTTGTCTGTTCTCTGTAATATCTAACTCCTCTCAGTAGTGCCAAATATAAAAGTGCTGTGATTTGGTTTTGTGAACTTTGGAAGTGAAAATAGAAACAAATGGTTAGTAGGATTTTTTACATGGAAATAAAGTAAGATAGCATTTGCCCTCTATGAGTTTATAATGAAAAAGAAAAAGAAGGCATATATTATGTAAATATGAGTTAAATAAAACTGAAAAAAGATGTTAGAAAGATAATATATAAAAATATCATTAATTCATTGCCAAAGAATGTAAACTAGGATATTCGTACTCATAATTTTGTATGAATTTAGACTTTTCACATTTGAAAACCAGTGATATTAGCAGAATCACAGTGATCCTGTAAAGAGAACAAGTGGTGTAAACCAAAGGATGCTTCAGCAAAAGGAGTAAATGGACAAACTGTCTCTGGAGAATGTGTTAAGGTTTAGATCAATACAGAAAAAGATTACTTCACTATATATAGAAGACTGTTAGAAAAATGGAGTGGGAAAGTGTTAACAGGGTGTCCCTGCTAAGTAGAGTTTAAATACATTCTCAGGAGAATAAATTTATCCATTTGAAGTTACTAATTTGATAAGGAACTTGTTAACTATATATATATATATATTATATATACATATAACATATAATATATATATATATATATTATATATATATATCCAGTAAGACTTCTAAAACACCTAGAACTCTAGAGAAAGGTCAGGATATCCATGAGCTTTTGAAAAATTTCCCTACAGTAACTTAAATCATGAGTTAAAATAGCTATGGAGAAAATGAGAAAGAAGTCAAGAATATGAACTTTGTGATAGTCATAGACTTCTAAGGACAAGACAGAAACTGGGTAAGAATATAGGACTAAAAAGACATATTCATAAGAAAGGGAGACTTGCTTTCATTTGATATTGGGGTCAACTGCTTATTTAATGTAATAGAGAAATGTACTGCATTCAGAAGGTGACTGCCAATCTTTGAGCAAATACATTCAGTGATGTGTTTGGAGAAAATACCAAATATCAGCATGGTAAGAAAAAAGAGCAGCTAGGACAAAGCAGAGATAGTATGTGAATATTCTCATTTAAGATTCACAGAGGCTTAAAACTGTATTGTATATTACAGCAATACACCTATCAATCTTTATGTTATATCTTGGCCAATTCTATACTATATGGTTGGGATGGTTTATAGGACAAGAAGGTTAGACTGTCTAAAAAATGGTAAGATGGAGAAAATATTGTACCCAGACATGTGAAGAGAGAAAACCATTGGCTGGAGGTTAGATATTTTGTAGCAAAACTATTTAGCACAATTGAGAATGTACATTTTAAAAAACAGAAGAGTGGCTATTGACTAGCTTAGAAGTTGGAACAAGAAGGCCATGACACCATTGTCACAACTTCATGTTTTATACAACACACAAGTTTGTCTTGCACAAAGCTTCTTATTTTACACTCAGATATATTATTCTGAATAAGCCATCTTTAAAACTAGTAACAATGTTCTTGGTACTAATAATGAATAAGTGCTACTTTAACAAGTACAACACACCATTCAGTAAAACCATTATGTTATATAAATTATTCTATTTAACTATAATGATACCATACAGGTCACAATCCCTCATATGAAATTATGGACGTTAGATTTTCAAATCAAGGATACTGAGTTGGTAAACTCTATTCAAATATACTCCCCTCCAAAATAATACCCCATAAAACTCTGAAATCTGAAATATTTTGATTCTAAGCTTTTTAAACAAGAGGTATTTATTAACCTATATCATATTTCTCATTTCACATGTGAAAGTAATGGCAAAGAAAAATATGTTGGGGGGGCTGGGAAGGTGGCTCAGTGGTAGAGTGCTTGCCTTGCATGCCTGAGGCCCTGGGTTCGATTCCTCAGCACCACATAAGCAAAAAGAAAAAAGCCGGAAGTGGCGCTATGGCTCAAGTGGTAGAGTGCTAACCTTGAGCTGAAGAGCTGAGGGACAGTGCCCAGACCCAGAGTTCAGGCCCCACGACTGGACCCTCCCCCCAAAAAGAAAAGAAAAATATGTTGTTGTTTTTTTTTCTTTGCTGGTCCTACAGCCTGAACTCAGGGAGTGATCCCTGAGCTTTTGTTTCTCAAGGCAGGTACTCTACCACTTGAGACACAGCTCCACTTTCAGCTTTTTCTTTCTTTCATTTTTTTTGTGGGCCCTAATTGAAGATAAGAGTCTCATGGACTGTCCTGTCCAGGCTGGCATCAAATCATAATCCTCAGATTTGGTCACCTGAACAGCTAGGGTTATAGGTGCAAGCCATTGGTGCCCAATGGAAAAAATATATTTTAAACACTAAACATCAGTAATTATCTCCACTAAGATTTGAACTCAGCTCTGATTCCACTATTCACTTCCTACTGTGACATACCACTATTATCTTAAATAATGGAATTGGTGAGCTTGTGTCTCCATGACTTCTGTAACAATCAACCAAGCGCTGTCAGAACACATCTTCCTAACATAATGCATTTTAAAAAAATAGTTTTATGATCTTTAGTTATAGAAAGTGTTATCCAAAAGAGCAGTTTTCAAATACAATGTGTCATGATCATTATCACCCCTTTCAACATTCTTACCTATCCCTCTCAATCCAGCTCTTCCCTCACTTTTCTTAAGTTTTGCATTATTTATTGGATTTTCTTTTCCATTTAACAAAGTAGGCTTTACCAAGAAAAACACATTTGATCCATACTTTCTTCTTGGTAGGTACTATAACTATATAGTTTCTTAATTGCCCAAATATAGTTTACTTTTTAGTCCTCTGAGAAAT